ATTTTAACAAAAGAATCATCAACATATAACAACTCTTATTTTAAGGAGATGTATGCCTTCACCTCAACCTTCAAGTTCTTATTCCTTTCATAACATTTTCATTCTTCCTTTTAAAACATTATGCCTCAAATGATCTTCTCAAATGCATATAACATGAATATGAAATGTTCATAATAACTTAATATGTAAATATAACACCCGTCTCAGAAGTATTACTTGTACTGACCAGGTACATGAAATTGGTCATTCATTTACCATTGGTTCATAAGAACCATCCTTTACCATGGCTCATAAGAGCCTCCTTTACCAGTGCTCAAAGAGCTCCTTTACCATGTGATACTTCCGCGTCAACATGCACATACACTTAATACTTATATAATCATAAGGGATGCTTTATGTAAATTATTCATAAACTATTCAAGTGTATGTTTCCATAGGGATATGCATGCTTGTTATGCTCATGTATTCATTTGCATGTAAAGAGAAAAACATGTGTAGTACAAGTAAAGAAAATTGCATGGGATTCATTCATAAGTTGTACAATTGCATAAAAGAAACCTTTACATTTGCATCAAGTGTCCATGAACCTATACAAGGGAACATGAGTCATAAGAATATCATAATGAGCATAAATGAAATTGCCATTTCTATGTATTTGCATGAAAGAAGAGTTTTTTAAATTTAGAAGAAATCCATTCCACCTACCTCAACTCGTGTACCTCTTTCGCTTGCCCGGTCAAATCCTTTCCTTCCACACGGTTTATATCTAGAAGAGACATACAAAAATGCATAAGTAATCTAGTCCCTACACAATTTCTTAAATCCTTAATCTAAGGTAAAAAAGAGTTCTTACTAATGTCTTGTCTATGTTTCAATTCAAACCCTCCTCACTATTTCATGATATCTCTCCTTCACATTCTCTCTCAATTAAGGTTTAGTCCAAATTCTTAGGTTTTAAGCATGCAACACCTCTCCCTACACTCAAAACATAAATAAAATATATTCAATTTTTGGACTATATTAAATAAAAAATTAGAAAATCTTGTATTTCAAGTAAAAAACATAAATTAGTCTCTAAAATCCTCCCAAAAATCAATAAAAATCATAGGGATAAAAAATTTCTTAATTAGGGAAAAAACCTAAATTTCAAAACTCAAAACTTTCATCATTCTTACAATATTCTTCTATTAGAAGCTTTCCTATGGCATTAGGAATTATTCTTAAGAAGGCATCTTCAAAGAAAAATCCATTTTGAGTGAAACCCTAATTTCTAAAATTCATTTTTTTTAAGAAAATAACCTACATTTAGGTTCAAAAACATCCTCTTACCTTTCCCTAAACTTTCCTCAAAGGAATCTTAAAGAAAATTCAAGTTTTTCCAAAACCCAAGCTTTCATTCCTTAGAGAAAACTCAAGGAAAGAAGGAGAAAACTCAAGAAAACATCTCACCTTAGCCTTTCCTTTTATTTACCTACATTTTCCTCCACGATCGGCCGCCGGAAACCCGAAGTCCGATGCTCCCGTCGCTGCTCCTACCCGCGCCCTTTCTCCCTTCTCCGTTCGGTTCGGTCGCAAGAAGCAAATGGGGACCGAAATATTTCGGTCCCCTAATAAGGGTGGGATTCTCATATAGCAAGCACAATGACCTCAAAGCCCTCAATTAAACATCCTCTCTATTCAAAAGGCATCAAGGGTAAAGTTGTCATTTAGAACTTTCTGGAAATTTTAACTCCCGAAATACTCAAAATCCGATATGGGTTCTATACATCAAAACGATCAGAATTTTGCGCTCTATTTTATAAAATTTATTGCGTCGAATTCCGACAACTTCGAATTTTTCACTTAAAACTCGTCGCGGCGCTTTGAAAAGCATGCGAGGTCTAAAATGACATTTTGCGGGTTTTACAATATCTTCTTAAATAAGGAAACGCCTTGAACAACATTATTTAGGCCGACCAACCCCAAAATGGGTCTAGCGAGGTTGCTAACTAATCATCCCACTCAACCTATCGCCCTAAATCTACTATTTTAATGCTATATTTGACCGACTTACTTGGTTGGTTGGTCCATACTTGTTGAACCACATGAAAAATTTGAAGTTTGAAAATTTAGGCAGTTATTGTTTTCTCCTTTTATTTCATGATTTTTTTTTATCATTGTTTGCATTTGGGATTGAATTTTGTCAAATTTAGTACAATCGGGATTTTTGACTATGATATGATTTTCATTTAAGCGTGTATGATTTTCAAGCTTCTAAATTTCTATGTATTATTGCTAGTAGATACGTATTAATTTTTTGTTGTCTTGGCTTTTATATGTTTTATAGTCTTCATCTAATGGAACAAATGGAACAAATAGTTGTGTAAATTATGGTTTGGTGAATTTTAAAGTTTTTGTGCTTGTGTGATTTTGTGTTTGTCATCATAGATTTGCATTAGGCAATTCTAGACACTAAGATGACCCATTTTATTTTCCAAATATGCATAAATTCATATAGAGTTTAAGTAAGAAAAGTTCGTGTTGCTTGTTCTTTTATTTTACCACATAGAAGAAAATAATATAATAAAGCTTTACTTTGATTTTGTAACATATCAGTTTTCTTTGATGGAATGCCATATTTAACTTGCATTTGGTTTGAGTTGATGTGTGAGTACGTCTTGATTATGTTAGTGGTCCCTTTTATAAATAGTAATGATACATGCCATTAGTGCAAAATGGCATATGTCATGGCAAGGCTAACTTCGTGCCATTTGTTTTGTTTGAAAATGATGCGCCCTATTTGCACTATCATGGACAATAGTGCATAACACAAAGCCCCTATAATATTGAAAATGATGCGTCCTATTTGTGCTATCATGGGCAATAACACAGCATAAAGCATCAATAACTGCGCCATTTTAATTTTTATAAATTAGAGTCTAGACTAAATATTTGTTTTATTTATTCTATGGTAACTAGTTTTTATTTTATCCAACTTAAAATTTGTTAGAATAGTTAAGTCATCAAGTGGTCCTAAAGGCTAAAGTTCTCACATGTTTGTCTCTCGGGTCATCCTTCTCTTGGCTTCTTTTTGCTTCCACTCAAGAATGTTGTATGCCTTGCATCTTTATCTCTTTCTCTCAAATCATCTTTGGTTCTCTTGTCTCCATCACTGAACGCCACAAGTCGAGAGCGAAACCACTGTCGCCCATCTTTTTGCTCTCATTGAAGCCAAACACTCAAACCTTCTTGATTGACAAAGGTCTGAATGCACTTGTTGAAGCCAAACACTCAAAGCATCCTTGATGAAGGAGAAGGGCTTGACAAAGGTAGATATCTAGGCATTTCATATTGCTTGAGCTTTGCATTTTTAGTTGCATGGTTTTCTTTTTTGATGTCTTTATAAATTCTTGGATCATTGCTCTTTGTTATCCTATCAACTGTTTTGCACATTTTGCCGATATTTTATATTTTGTTTTGTAGCCTTTTTTTTCCTTTTGAATCCTTTTTGTTGAATCTTTTTTGGTGTTTGATTTTTTTGATAGCAAAGAGCATATGATATTTATTGATTTAGAAAAAGCATATGATAAAGTTCCAAGAGAAGTGCTATGGAGAGTTCTTGAAAAGAAAGGAGTCAATAATGCTTTTATTCAAATCATTAAAGATATGTATGCAGGAGCTATTACTTGTGTTCAAACACAAGGTGGATTGACCAAGTATTTCCCTATTTCGGTTGGGTTACATCAAGGATCAGCCTTAAGCCCATATCTTTTTGCTTTAGTCATGGATGTTCCCACTAGACATTTGCAAGAGGATGTACCTTGGTGTATGCTTTTTGCTGATGATATTCTTCTTGTTGATAAGACTAGAGAGGGAGTTGAAGGTAAACTTGAATTATGGAGGTCAATCTTAGAGTCTAAAGGTTTTCGCTTGAGTAGATCTAAAACGGAATATATGGAGTGTAATTTTAGTAGTAATAGACCTAGTGAGGGGATTGTGACTTTGGGCAATCAAGTTATTAATAAGAGTACACGTTTTAGATATCTTGGATCTATTGTTCAGAGTGATGGTGAAATAGATGGGGATATTATCAGTAGAATTCAAGTTGGATGGTTGAAGTGGAGGAATGCATCGGGCTTGTTATGTGATAGAAATGTACCCCTCAAACTTAAGGGAAAATTCTATAAGATGGTAGTGAGGCCTGCAATGCTTTATGGTGCCGAATGTTGGCCTTTAAAAGAGAAGCATAATACTAAGTTAAGTGTGACAGAGATGAGGATGCTCAGGTGGATGAGTGGCTTTACCCTTAGAGATAGGATACGAAATGAGCATATACGTGAAAAGGTTGGAGTAGCTTCAGTAGAAGATAAGATTAGAGAAAGTCGCCTTAGATGGTTTGGTCACATAAAACGGCGGTCTTGCGATGACCCGGTTAGGAGAGTAGAGGTATTAGATTTGAATTATGTTAAGAAAGGTAGGGGTAGACCTAAAAAGACTTGGTTAGAAAATATTAGGAATGACCTTTCTTTTTTAGATTTAAACGAGAATTTGACTTTTAATAGGACACAATGGAGAAAAAGGATTCATGTAGCCGACCCCACGTAGTGGGATAAAGGCTTGATGTTGTTGTTGTTGTTGTTGATTTTTTTGCTATAAAAAATTTTCTACTGTATACATTTTAGCATCAGTTACCTCTAATACTATTAGGTACTCAAAAGAATGTCGGATTTAGTTGTATTTGTATTTCATAATTTTTAAATATTTAATGCATTGTTTAAAATAGTGTGTATCATGCCATAGGCTATGCGCTGTCTCCACCAAAACTGTTCTGTTATCGTGCGTTATTCGATATTGACAAGTATGATAGTAATCATGATTAACTTGAATCTTGGCATTCAATTGGATTTCTCCTTTACTTTTCCAGTTTAGGGAACAACTTAAATTTATCGAAATCCTGATATGCAAAAATGTGGTTTTAGAAGTAAATTTTATGTGGATTTTCCTGCTTTGTAATATTTCAGGTTCAGCACTTAAAAACAGCATTAATAAAGTTGGACAAAAATTATGCTGCTCAAGAAGAAAAGGAGACGTGTATGTACATTGCACCTAACAAGTAATTTGCATCCTCCTTAGGATATGATATTGATATATTATCAAGAACTTTTGGTGCCTGGACAGCCTTAAGCTTCTATTTCTCTATGTGTAGAGCAATTCCTTGTGATTTGTAGATGATTTAGTAAAAAAATGTCTTGCGGGTTGGAAGTTTATGAATGCTTACTAATTTGGGCTATTTATGTTTATATGATGAAGAAATATCTTTTAATAATTTATAATTTCTTTATCGAACTAAGCATAATTATTATAATTATTCCTTTCCAAACTATAAAATATGATAATATCTATCTTCACCATAGCATAATGTGTTACCATTCTCATCTATTACGAATGAAAATCTATGATATACAGACACGGATATAGTTACACAGACACAACTTGACTCGGACACAAGACAGATCAATTAATGAAAATATAGGACACAAAAACATGTTGGATGTCATATTATAATTTTTATATCTTAATTATAGTGTAGAATTTGAATAAATAGAATATTAAGAATAATTGAAAAATAATAAGTCATTTAATTAGAATATATGCTTAAAATGATTAATATTAGGAGGTCGAGAGTTGGGCATGGATGTTGTGTCAGGTATCAAGAGGGGAGATGATAATGTTGTCGAAAGTTGAATATTGATGTTGTGCAATGGGCATCGATCATCCACGTGGATACAATGACCCTCGATGTCGAGATGATGTCAGTTGTCAATATTGAGATGACAGTGGAAAAAGATGAAGCGTCAAGACGGCATGGGGGCGTGATTGTGGGTGTAAAAATTACTAACGTCGAGCATCAATGTCAAAACAATATCAAGCTTCAATGTTGAGATGATTTTAAAACATTGATGCTGTGATGATATTAGAGAGATGACTTCATGCGTTGTTGTGAAACTTTAGTCGGAACTTGCTAGAGAGAAATGAAATGGGAATGTTCGGGGAATGAGATATTGAGTACGAAAGATTGATTTAGAACTATAGAGAGCAAATAAGAAAATTAGTTTTTATTTTTTTACTAAATAAAAATTTGAAGCACAAGAAATAATATTTAAAAAAATTCACAAAATATTAAAGTCACGTGTGTCGGACACACTTGTCCAGTTTATTTTAATATTTTTTTAATGATTGGACATGTCTTCGGCATGTATGACACGTATTGGATGCGTGTCGAACACGTCATATTCGATATGTGTCAGACATTGCATACTTCTTTGTAGAGATGATGGGGACATCAGTTGGAAAGTCTACCGTCGACGTGGCCGTAGATCTATGGCCACGATTTACCCGATGTATTTCTGATTTTAGTATTGTCATTTTATTTTGATGTATTTTATTTATGCATTTTCCCTTTTTACCCTGGCTTGAGGGATTGAGTCATGTAGCCCTTAAGGGTATTTGAGTCCTTTTACTTTATGTCATTGTATTAAGCTATTTATAGCCTTCATCTTGTATTTTTGATGGTTAATGAATGAATAATATTAAGAAATTTTCCTGCATTTGTCTTCTTGAAGCTTTTGTGAGAGCTTGAGAGAGAGTTGTGATGTTTGGTGGAGCCTAGGAGAGGCCACCCGTCGTACCCAACAGTCACCTCCGGTGGCTCTTGGTTTATCTCCCTTCTTTCTTTTCGTTTCCCCCAATATCCACCTCCAGCCATTCCCCACCACCAACCTCCACCTCCTAATCGCACCCGCCCAAGCTCAACCTCACCATATCCTCAAAACCCCCACCTTCCCATCATAAATTCAAATCTCAGATTTTTTCCCTTCTCTTTCACTTAAAATCTGAGAATAATTTTTGGTATGGAGATCTAATATTATTTCTTCATCCCATCTAGTCTTTTCTTAACCCTAGCCTTGTCCTCCCTACCACTGCCATCTCTCTCCCTCTCCTTCTCTAGTTTGTTCTCTCTTTACATGATATTGATTCATGGTCGACTCGAAGGGTGATTTCGACTTTGCATCCGACGGCCAAGGCGTTGTGGATCTTCTCCCCTTCCCGTCGTCGGCGTGATTTCAATCCTTGGCGGATCCATAGAGATTTCTTCTTCCCGTAGTACTTGTTGAAAGGGACCAAAGAAAGGTGCGTGGTAATTCACAACGTCTCTCCGGAAAGGTGATCTTCTTCCTTGATTCATTTTCTTTCAAATTCTACTTACTTTTATGAGAGTTTGTTCACGCAAGAGATTGTGTCTACCAATCGCCATCCATTAATAATCGTAAGTTTGTTACTTATTGGCTCTTAGATCTAATTGTTATAGTTTGGTTATGTTGGAAACTACTACTTATGCAATGTTTTAATTTTCTTAAGTGTTTTGATTTGGTTTAGTCTCTTGTGTCGCTTGGCCTAAACGGGATTGACCATTTATGAGTTTTTCATTGTTGTTCTAATCACTATTAACGAAAATCTGAAATTGTTCTTAATTTATTTTGTGCAAGTTTCCGATCTTTGCATGTAGTCCTGCATCAAGAGAAGTATTGGCACATCATAGATGAAAATAAATCGATTGATTACCAAAAGTTGTGGGGAACTAAGTTACAACCACTGTGATTAATAAAAATTACCACCAAGAGGGAAATAAATGGCTTTTCTAAATTAGTTTGTTTATATTATTACCTCTTAAAACTTAAAGATATTTGTTTTTTATTAATTTTGGTTATGATGCAATTTTGGATTCCTTGCTTGAAATTGCTTCTTATAAGATTTTTTGTCAAGTTGAATGTTTTCTAAAATGAATTAGATAGGTTAGAAGAGAGATTTGTAAAGGAATATAACTCTATTGAATTCTTATCTTTGTATAAGCATATGTGCCTATATATAGGCAAGAAAGAAAAATATAATAAAAGTAGAATATCTTCAAGAAAGAGGAAATATAACAATAATAAACAGTGCAGATTCTTGTTATAAATAGTTAGCATATGATAATTTATATACGATTACATCTTCATTGAATTCTTGTTGTAAGTACAAGCATATTTGGGCTTATATATAGGCAACAAAGGAAAATACAATAAAAGGAGAATAATAAATAGTGCAGATTCTTTGTGGCGGTGTTTAGCGAGGTAAATGTGCAAGAATGCTTAAGATGTTTTAATAATTATATGAACTGTCCTAATGTAACTGCTCCTATGTGTAGAAACTATAAATTATAGACTTCATTTTTATTGGTTTTATGCCACCTTGGCTACTTTGGAATGAAATGTTTGCAATCATTGATTTAACAGTGAAGGAGGCTGTTTCCATATTGGGTGAATATTTAAAAGATGAGCCCTGGTTGAGACTCCTTTGCAGCCACTTGAAGTAAGATTTTTAACCCACAGCAGACAAACCTATTGAAGAATTTCACATTAACACTCTTATTTTAAAATGCTCGATTCCATTTTCTTACAGGTTGGATTTAAATGAGACCATGAAAGAATCACCAAGAATGGAAGATGACCTTCTTTTCCCCGAGAAATCTGTTGCGTCCTCTCATCCACATAAGGTTGGTTCTCTTGAGAACGTTGATATGTGCAAATTGTTTTTGTGCGGTGTAGTCCGATATTTATCATTTGATCTTCCAGGGAAAGGGTGGGACGGCATGGACTAGCAATGGAAAACAATCAAAAAAACTGAAAGCGGAAACTGATTCCCACAATATCAAAGACATGTTCCGCAGAATCTCCAGGAGAGCTCCCTGAGAGAAACCTGACCGGAAGAAAAATCAGGTGTTTCATATATGAGAAATTATTAAGTGCGGAGTCTGGACGTAGAGATACGTCCGGACATCCACTTAAAATTTGATACGTAGAGTGTACTTCGGTTGCATTTTTTTTTTTTTGTGCTTTAACTACACTTTAGTTGTTATTTGCTGCTCTTTTGTTGCGCTTTTTTTATTGTGCTTTAGTTGCGCTTTGACAGCTCTTTTATTGCACTTTTTTACTGCGTTTTAACTATGTTTTACCCACGCTTGACTTAAATTTCCGCGGACACGTTAAATATATAAAGTAAAAAATAAATTCAATTGAATATCCACATGTCTACTTCATGTGTCAACATTTTATTGGAGTCCGGACGTATATCTATGTCCGGACTCTGCACCTAATAATTTCTCTTCACATATTCACATCATCTCGCTTTAATTATTGCAGTAAAATTTGCTAATCTTTTTCTATTCTTTTGCAGGTTTGAACTGTTATGAGCTTCAGCTTAATCTGTAAGGCAACGTGGATTTATTCGTGTTAATCATAATCTAATGCGATATGAACAAGCTTCAATTGCAGCTTATCGTTTTGAAATTTTGATGCATTTTCTTTCAGTGATTTGTTTAGGATAATGCATTACGATCTTCTACACAGATCACATTTTATCTGTAAGCTATGGAAGTTCAGATGATTTGGTGGTTTAATTTTTGGGTTTATTGTTATTTTCTTGTCTTTGTGTAACTATATAATCTTCAAAAATCACGTGACATTAAAATTTGGATTATGGATGATAGAATCTCTTCTCAAGGCTCGAATTCTAAGATCATGTCGTTGAGCATTGGTTTGATAGAGATACGTTGTTTAGAAAAGAAGTGTTTTTGAATTATTGTAATTTATTCATATTTGTAGTTTTGGCTACTAATTAAAATTTTGTTTGGGGCAGTTTTTATATTTCTTTATAAAATAGTTTTTTAGTTAATTTTTAAAAAATTGTATTAAAAAGTTATTTTAGAAAGCAATAAGTTATTCCAAACGAAATTTAAGTGGCTTTCAATTTTGAAAAATTATTCTCTGTAATCATCGGATGACATTTGGAGGCAAATCAGAGCAAGTTATATCATTTTTTTATTGTTTACTGGTGATGTGTGCCATTATGTGTTGGGTGATATGATGCGTTTTGATTTGTTTTTAGATGGTTTGGTGATTGGACAAAATAATTTCTCTTGAATTTTAGTCTTATGAATGTGATGTGTGAATTTATCTTAACTGATTGTAGGCCCCCAAATTCTTTTATTTATGACGGTTACTTCAATCACTTATTTATAATTTATCAAGCACATGTGTTATGATTAAACAAATAATTTAATAAAGAAATAAAAAATTATCTTAGAATACTTTGATCCAATTGTAATTTGATTATAAAGCTCTTTTTGATTAAATTGATGTATAATGATTTTGACTCAAATTTCCTTTTTAATAAATTGTATATATATATATATATATATATATATTCACACCCTCCTCCACCTCCAATTCTCCAAAAACAAAGATCGAAATGCCTCTTCCTCCTCGGTCTCCCATCCTCCTCTTCCTCTGCCATGACGTCTCCCTCCTCTCCTTTCTTCTCCATTTCCCGATCCAATGCCTCCTCTGTCTCTGTCCCAACTCCCTTCCCACTCTCCTTCCGCCAACAACCAGCCGCCACCTCCATTCTCCTACCCTGCCGACCTACCACCCTTCTCCCCCACCTCAAACTCTACCACTCCAGCCCTCCACTCCGTCACTTTCACCCCGCATCCGCCACCGCTTCGTCTTACGCTTCCGACGAGGACGACGAAACCCCCAAACTGTCCGAAAGCAGTGATCTTCCGGAGATGGCGCGGGCCTTAGGAGTTTCATCAAGGGTGGCTTACGCGGCTTGCGCCTGCTTAGTGCTGGCAGCGCTTAGCGTACCCCTTGTGATGCGGCCGGTGACGTCGGCGGCAAGCGCGAAGATTAGGGCTCTGTCTTACGTGACGCTGCTTTCCGGGTTCTACATGGCGTGGAACATCGGAGCTAATGATGTTGCTAACGCGATGGGCACGTCGGTGGGCTCCGGGGCGCTCTCGCTTTTGCAGGCGGTAGTGATCGCGTCGGTGCTGGAGTTCTCCGGGGCGCTCCTAATGGGAACTCATGTGACAAATACTATGCAGAAGGGGATCCTTGTGGCGTCGGTATTTCATGAGAAGGATTCGTTGCTGTTTGCTGGGCTTCTTTCGTCGTTGGCTGCTTCGGGTACTTGGTTGCAGGTTTGTTATACTTTCCACATATCTTTATTACTCAAATGCTTCTCCGTTTTGTTTTCTTTTTAATTTATCTATTGAGCTTAGATTGTTTAATTCAGTGTTTATTCTTTTCTCTCTGTAATAATTATATCTGGTTTGCTAAACTTGGAGCAGATGAAGACTTGGGAATGTAATGCTAGTGGTTTTAACTGTGTTGCTAATGCTGCTAATTTTACACCAACGCCTTCCACCTGTAATATGTTTGATCTCTTCGTGGAACGTGAGCTTGATTATTGTAGAAGATGAGAGTTAAGAGTTGTTGAAGGTAGTCTAAAATTCTGTGGAAGTTGAGTGAGCCAACGTGACAGTGACACTAAGGGCATCTCCAACTGAACGCTAAACGAGTGTATGGAGTCGTTCCGTCGCCCCAACCGAACGCGAAAATTTCCGCCATTTAATCGCAGGTGAATAGTGCGACGCCAATATTGGCGTCGCACTTTTCACTCACGCCATTTTTTGCTCTCAACCGGAAAAACGCGCGAAAGGGAGAGCGATCTTTACCTTCTCAAAAACACCTAAAATGGCGTTCGATTGGAGCATCACCGCGCCATTTTGGAGTTTTGCGTTACTTTGCCGTGAAAAATGAAGTTTTCGGTTGGAGATGCCCTAAGAAGCAATGAATGAAATTTTACTTACTTTAAAGATCTAGAGATATTGTGTTAGTTCTTTTTCCTTCCAATGTACAAGTGAATCATTGAGGAAGAATCAAAAGATTGGATTAAAACCCCAGTCAGCATCAGTAAAGGCTTGAAGCTGTTGTGACAATGTACTGGGGAAGAGTAGGCCATGTTCGGGTTTTGGACTTGAGATATTTAAGGAGCTTATGAGTTGTGGCTAGGTAAGTAGTCTATGGTGGAGCCAAAAATTGGCTTAGTTTGTGTATGGTGAAAGTGATGTCTAACTGTGATAAAGTGAGGTAGACTAATATACCCACTCATCATCTATGTTGGGAGGTGTTGGAGAGGGGTTTGTCGTTTGCCAGGCTGAGAGATTCTTTGGGATCCATGGATACGATCATTGATTGCACTTCAAGAGCTTGGTATCTTCTAGAAGTTGCAACTTGTAATGTCATTGGGATAAGACTATGCTGAGCCATCTTTAGACCTAAGAAATATTTAAGATTCTCAAGTCCTTGAACTTGAACCGAGTGTGCAAGAAGGGCTTGAGTGAGGTGACAATTGATTCATTTGGTTTTGCTATTATAATATTGTACACATATACTAATATAGTCACCAAGTTAGCTCTAATACCTTTTCTAAACAAAGAATAACCAGCCTTAGATTTTGTAAAACTAAATTGTAATAGTGATTGTGAAAGTTTAGAATACTATTGTTGAGATGCTTGCTTGAGCTCATATAGATATTTATGAAGCTTGCATACGAGCCTTTTATTTTGATGATTTCTCCCCATAAACTATTGTTGCGGGCTAGAATATTCGCGGCGGTAGAGAAATATATAGTTTAACGTCTTAGCATTGTAAGAAGATCCAACACACTATCAGATAAGTGAGAGGGTGTAATATTCATAAGAGACACCAGAGTTTTTACGTGGAGAACCCCTAAAAAGGGGGAAAAACCACGGGGCCTAGCCCAGTTTGAATGAATCCACTAGTATTGTAGTCGATTACAAATGAGGCCCTTCCTTTGAGGAAGGGATGTGTTTGATGTACATTATATGGAGTACATTACATGTTGGGAATACAAAGAGTCACTGTTGACGCATTCGCTTTGTTGGAAGGACTGTAGTCGGCTAGCAACGGAGGTCGGAAGGACTGTAGCCGGCGGGCGACGTAAGTCAGGAGAACCGTAGTCGGCTGGCGACGGAGGTTGAAAGGACTGTGTTTGACGATGAAGGTTAGAAGGACGGCGTTAGGGAGAAGTCTAACAATGGGAAGAAATCCATCTTCGAATAAACGTCCAGTGAAAGTCCGATAACTGGTAGAAGTCTGGTGTCGGGTAGAAACTTGGCGAAGAGTGAAGGTCCAGCGTCGGGTAGAAGTCCGACGTCTTTTGGTGGACGAGGAGAACTCCGACATCACTTGGGCGGAGTTTAGACATCAGGAGGGAACTTTGTTGTTAATTGGGCAGAATTTCAGCATCCCGTGGAACTTTGGCAGAATTATGGCGTCCCGTGAAAGTCGGACAGAATTCTGGCGTCATTTGGAGTTCGGGCGGAACTCCGGCGGTGGTCGAGGAGGAGTCTCTTCCCTCCTATTCTTCTCTTCTTCTTCTCCTCCTTCTTGTTTCCGTCCCCTCTTATGAGAAATGAGGGATCTATTTATAGTTTTTCTGGAGTGGCATGGCCCGTAAATAGATGAGAGATCATGGGCAAATGTGGAGTGGTTCGATGGACGGTCGATATTGAATCCCTTGATCATGAATTGTTTATCTGGAATTTGAAGGTCTTAGTGATGTTGGAATTCGGCGATCTTGGGCTCGTTGGATTCGTCTCGACGAGCCGCTCGATTCGACTATAAGCTCGTCAAAATCGGAGACTGTTTGGCAACTCAAATTGTGGTACGAACTTTCCAACAGCGCTTCAGGTGCTCGATTTGGGCTTATTTGAACTCATATTGAGTTGAATTTGGTATCGTTGGGTTCTTATTTTCGAGATGCTCAGTTTGATTGTAAGCTCGCTAAAATCGGAGTTCAGGTGCTCCCGGATTTAATTTTTGAAGTTTTCGACTTGATTTTGCATCGAGATTCGTGCCCGATCAAGATAATTTTTGCATGACGTATCAACTATTTATCATTGAGGCAGGTTCATGTAGACATCTTCAAATAAATCGTCATGTAGGCTATATTGGAGAAGCCAACATGAGTTGGATTGATCTTTAACGGGGTAGACTTACAGAATGTAAGAAGTATATTGGATTAAGTGTGAAATCTTTGTTGAGGTAATTAGTTTATTTAGTTTTGAAGAACTTGCACAATTGGGTTGACGGCGCTATAACATGGAAAGGGAGCTAAGAAGGATTATCCATATCAAGTTCCTATGTAGGCAATTCTTTAACTTCTATGTATACAATCATTGTGCACCTATTGGCCTATACCAATATAAACTCGCAAACTTTATCATCTTTGAGATGCGTCACAGTATAGTTACCATTATTTTAAAAGTGACAGACAAGATTATCTTTGTATAGAATTATCATGACATGACGATCGTATGATTCTTATATAAAGTTGATCTAATGTTAACATTTCAATGATTCTTAGCGGGTGATTCCTTCCAGTAACATATATGTGTATATTCTTCTATAATTTGCTGCTTACCATCGAAATATAAAATCAAATATGACATTTTACAAAATATTTATGAAATATTAAATCAAGATCTATGTCAACAATAATGTAGTAGAGAAGAGAGAGAGAGAGAGGATGGAGGATTAAAATGCAAAAAATAGTAGAGAAGAGAGAGAGAGAGAGAGAGAGAGAGAGAGAGGAGGGAGGAGACAGAATAAAAAGATCGTAAATAAAAAATGTATTGCATTATAATAAATAAATTAAAATAATTACTTAAATAACTTTCATGCTCATTGAAAATTTATTTTTTGAAAACAAAATTAGTAATGTTTTTGGGTATGAAATTTCAATCTTAAGTTTCTTTTATCATTAACAAAACATTATTATTTTATTGTTTATAACAAAAAACTTGTTTTAAGTTTTAAATCTACTTCTACCTTTCTTAATATAAGTTAAATCTAATGCATCTACTTTCCTAACCGGGCCATCGAAAGACAGCCATTTTATGTGACCAAACCATCTAAGGCGACTCTCTCTAATCTTATCTTCCACTAGAGCTACTCCAACCTTTTCACATATAAGTTTATTTTATATCCTGTCTTTAAGAGTAAAGTCACTCATCCACCTGAGCATTCTCATCTCTGTAACACTTTTAATATTATGCTTCTCTTTTAATGGACAAAATTTTGCACCATAAAGCATTGCAGGTCTTACTACCATCTCATAAAATTTTCCCTTAAGTTTGAGAGGGACTTTTCTATCACATAACAAGCCCGATGCATTCCTCCACTTCAAACAATCAACTTGAATCTACTAATAATATCCCATCTATTTCACCATCACTATGAACAACAGACCCAAGGTATCTAAAACGTGTGCTCTTATTAATGACTTGATCGCCCAAAGTCATAATCCCTCTACTAGATCTATTATTATTAAAATTACTCTCCATATATTCAATTTTAGATCCACTCAAACGAAAGCCTTTTGATATAGAACGGGTAGGAGGAGAAAGGCGTTGCTAGGGAGAGTGGACAAACTCCAAGAGTCTCCTCACAAAAGCTGAAAAGTCCCTTCAGGAAATCTGAAATTTTCAGATTTTTTTTATGGAAGAAAGAGGAGTAAAGGAAGTTGGGAGAGGATGCCAGAAAAGCTGAGGAAAAAAAAAAATTCAATTCCGTAACTCTGGGATATGAATTAGGGAAATAGTGAGGAGAGAGGGAAACGGAAGGGTGGCGGGATAGAGGGGATATATGAGAAAATTTTCTAATCCTAAATCAATGAGTTGATTTGGGAAGTAGATTAGGAAATAAGAATTAGGAAAACTCTGTTATAAGCAACGTAAAGGATTTGAAAATAGGGGAAAATTCGGCCAGGAGAATAATGAGATTTGGATTTATTTCCTACAGCAATGTTGGGTTTTAGGAAATATTTATTACCCAAGCCAATAGGAGGCCGGCGGCATCCATGGGGGAAAAAGGGTTTAATGCATTTAATTGGGGTTGCTTGATTTGGGTTTAGAATTTATGAAAAAAATAATTAAGTCCTCTTTGAATTTGAAATTCAAATAGGATTTAAAATGGAAACTTTCCAAAAATAGACGGCAAATTAGGAAAACTTTTCCAAATGTCAAATTTCATGAATTTGAATTTGAAAGCTACCCAAAATTTGCTCACCCAAATTCAAATTGATTTAAATTAAATGCTTTCCTAATTTAGGCGAACTAAATTAGGAAATAAATTTTGAATTTCAAATTTAGATAATTTGAATTTCAAATAAGTCCAAGTGTCATTCACCCCAAATTAGGAAACTCAAGAAGAGAGAGGGAAAGGTGAGGCCGGCGGCTAGGGAGCCATGGCCGGCGGGTTGGACGGGTGAGGTTGGTGGTGGGGATGGCCGGAAGGAGGGGAACGGTGAAGAGGATGAAGATGAAGACTAAGATATGACTACGAGGAACAATAAGAAGGAACAAAACAAAAAACAAAAGATAGAACGAAAGAAGATAAAGACAAAAACCGCGAGCCTCGGACTCTTCCGAAGACTGACGGATGATTCGTTTGCCCTTCTCCAAGGGACTTCACGTCACGAGCCCGGACCCATCCTGCGGCTGGTGAAACTCTCGATTTCTCTCATAGAAATCTCACTCTCGTCCTCTCCCAAGAAGAACACAAGTGTGGAAAACACAAAATTTTCATATCAAATTAACCATCCTCATTACAATAGCTAAAGGCCCTATATATAAGCCATAACATGAGAAAATAAAAATACAAAAATGCCCCTTGGGCCATAACACTCAAATAAACTAACCTAGGGGTAAAACAGGAAATAACATAAAATAATAGCTAAAATTCATAAAATAAATTTTAAATAACAATTTAAATTGGAGCCGTTGATTTACGACGCCTCCTGTGATAGATGCGTCAGATCTTCGTGCCGATGTCCGCATCACCTTTAGGCTCTAAGGTTGATTTCTATAATTCAAGTTTACCTTCAACTCCCTCTCTACTCTTATCACCAAGAAGAATATCATCAACAAAAAGCATACACCATGGTACAACCTCTTGCACATGCCTTGTGAGAACATCCATGACTAAAGCAAAAAGATATGGGCTTATGGTTGATCCTTTAATATATTTAAAAAAAAAGCATTCATCTCCATTATATATATATATATATATGTGCATATTAATTTATATCATAATATGACAGATGGAGGGAGAGAGAAAGAGACAGAGAGGAAAAATACTTCTCCAACACATTTTTGAAACTTAATGCTAAAAATGATAAAATAATTGTAATTGAATAATAAATTAAAGTTAGAAAAAAGTTAACTAATTATGAAAGATTAAGTAACAACAACAACAACAAGCCTTTGTCCCACTATGTGAGATCGGCTACATGAATCCTTTTTCTCTATTATGTCTTGTTAATGGTCAAATTCTCATCTAAATCTAATAAAGAAAGGTCATTTCTAATATTTTCTAACCAAGTTGTTTTAAATGTACTTCTACCCTTCTTAATATAAGTTAAATCTAATACATCTACTTTCCTAACCGGGCCATCGAAAGCTAGCTATTTAATGTGACCTAACCATCTAAGGCGACTGTCTCTAATCTTATCTTCCACTGGAGCTACTCCAACCTTTTCACATATAAGTTTATTTTATATCTTGTCTTTAAGAGTAAAGTCACTCATCCACCTGAGCATTCTCATCTCTGTAACACTTAACTTAATATTATGCTTCTCTTTTAATGGCCAAAATTCTGCATCATAAAGCATTGCAGGTCTCACTACCATCTCATAAAAATTTCCCTTAAGTTTGAGAGGGACTTTTCTATCACATAACAAGCCCGATGCATTCCTCCACTTCAACCATCCAACTTGAATCTACTAATAATATCCCATCTATTTCTCCATCACTATGAACAACAGACCAAAGATATCTTAAACATATGCTCTTATTAATGACTTGATCGCCCAAAGTCATAATCCCTCCACTAGATCTATTTTTATTAAAATTACTCTCCATATATTCAATTTTAGATCCACTCAAACGAAAGCCTTTAGGCTCTAAGGTTGACCTCTATAATTCAAGTTTACCTTCAACTCCCTCTCTAGTCTTATCAACAAGAAGAATATCATCAACAAAAAGCATACATCATGGTACAACCTCTTGCACATGCCTTGTGAGAACATCCATGACTAAGCAAAAAGATATGGGCTTATGGTTGATCCTTGATGTAATCCAACTGAAATAGAAAAATACTTGTTCAAACCACCTTGTGTTTGAACACAAGTAATAGCTTTTGCATACATATCTTTAATGACCTGAATATAAGCATTATTAACCCCTTTCTTATGAAAGATTAAGTAAATAATAAATAAAATAAAATTTTATTAAAAATAAGTATAATTTAGTTGACAATTTCTTTAAATAATGTGGAAAAAAAATACAAAAATAATAATTTACCTTAAAAACGCTTAAAAGAGGAAATGAAAAATCAATAAACTATTAATGACTAACAAATGACACTTAATGACTCTTAGTGTTGATGAAATAAGCAAGCATCTATTGCTATTTCTAGCAGCCAATGTAAATGCTAGTGAAAGCACAGTGGAAACATATGAAAAATTGTGGTCAGATCATTGTAATAAGAACACTTGAACGCGTCAATAATAAATAAAATAAAATTTTGTTAAAAATAAGTATAATTTAGTTGACAATTTCTTTAAATAATGTGGAAAAAAATACAAAAATAATAATTTACCTTAAAAACGCTTAAAAGAGGAAATGAAAAATCAATAAACCATTAATGACTAACAAATTACACTTAATGACGCTTAGTGTTGATGAAATAAGCAAGCATCTATTGCTATTTCTAGCAGCCAATGTAAATGCTAGTGAAAGCACAGTGGAAACATATGAAAAATTGTGGTCAGATCATTGTAATAAGAACACTTGAACGCACAGTACAAAAAATGTATTGTGATCCTGCCGACCTATGCATATAATATTATTTAGAGAGAAACAATGGGTGGAATAAAAAACAGAAAAGTGATTGAAGCAGAGAGAGATAGGGACGGAGATTGAGAGATAAATAGTTCAGATCGCAAGATTTATGTAAATTATATTTTAATTTTTGCTTAAATTTTGTTAGTCATAAACACCCATATTTCAAAATTAATGCTAAAAATAATAAGAATGACGAATTTTAATTAATTTTTTTTTAAAAGGACTAAATGTTATTCAGTAGACAATTACAAAATGCAAACCAAAATTCATAATTTACCTGGAAAAATGCTTGAAAAAGGAAATGGAGAATCACTAAACCACTAATGCTTGCAAATGACTATCTACGATGCTTGATCTGGGATAATACAATAGAAATATTTGATTGTACAACATAGAAATTTAATTTGCATTTTCTATAGTAATGCAAAGTAAATTCACATTTTTCTCATTCAAAATAAAAGCTCATGAATGCACTGTAAAAATTGCATGGTGATCCAATGACTAAATGGTGTGTAGTGTTCCTGAGAAAATGCAAAACAAATTTTGGTTTTCTGAAGAAAAAGCATTAGATTTTTTTGTTTTCTTAAGAAAGCACAAAATGATTTTATGTTTTCTAATAAAATGCTTATATTCTAGCATTTAAGCTCCTTAAAAATTTTTAATATATATTTTTAGCTTATTTAATATTAAAGGGTGATCCTTTTTAAGATTTTGCCTTTTTTAACAGGATGTCTGGCATCTTTTTCTGGTTCAAAAGTGCCTTTGCAAAGTACAAATCAATAATGATTTGTAGAAACTGAAATGGTACTGTAAAATTTTGTTAAGTAACTTGGAAAAATGAGCATCCTGAATAAATAAGAAGAGATCTGTACAATTTTATGCCAATTGAAGAAAATGATGTTGACAAATTATGAAAAAATGGTTATGTATTACCAAAATTGATACGTCATGGAGGATATGGATTTATGATCTTCTCATTTAGTTGGTTATATTGGCCTGCACGAATATTGCTTCTTATAGCAAATTTGATGCCACTACTAATTGTACTTGCTCAAATAAGTGCTACTCGAATTTCTAGTGGCCACATATCCTTGCAAATTTGGGTGATTCTAATTCTCCATCCAAATTTTCTAGGGAGATGGTGGTGATAATTAGGTGTCCAATAATTTTACAGATTTCTATTTTATCAAGATAGTGATGATTATGTCACATCAGGGAAATTTGTTTAGTTCTGTATTAGATGGTTAAAAATGTTTCATACTAGAAATATCAAGTTGTTGGTTCTCACCTATAAAGTTAAGCTTTTGAGTTGAAATTTCTGTGATTATTGTTTTTTCGTGCTCAATTTTGATCTCCTTTGATTCACACTACTTAATAAGTGAATTAGAGTCGATGATTCAACTAAGAACGTGTAGTTCATGTAGTTAGTTGCTATCAGAAGTCTTTAATATTTTCTAACATCCTTATGTAAGATTCAAGATTGGGTAGCTCTCACCAATATGCCCAAGTTTTTGGATTGAAAATGCATTTAATCATTGGTATATTATGCCAAATTTTGATTACTTTTGGTCTACTCTTCTTGATAGTAAGTGTACCTATTTAGGGCTTAAGCCATGCATTTTCAGATTGATCCGGTAGTACTTGAGGTTTTTTTGGTTTCATTACACCGCTCCTAGAAGACCTACTCATGTCCTTATTCACAAATTTCAAATTAGTTTTGCAACCGAACTGTTCTTTTTGAGAGAATTCTTGTGCAAAGTCCCTGATAGTTTCTTTTAAGGTGTGAAGTTAGATTGCAGAAATTACAACCATCTGCAACTTCTATGAACAATTCATTTACATTTGATTGACTGCAGCTGCATATGCTAATGGCATTTTTGTCAACTAATCAGATCGCCAAATTGACTTTTGTTACTCACAGGTAGCTTCCTTCTATGGCTGGCCTGTTTCCACCACACACTGTATAGTAGGTGCCATGGTTGGTTTTGGCCTAGTCTATGGCGGCATTGGAGCTGTTTTCTGGAGTTCACTCGCACGAGTAGCTTCATCTTGGGTCATATCCCCTGTCATGGGAGCTGCAGCATCTTTCATTGTTTATAAATGCATCCGCAGGGTATGCTCACAATTGTCTAATAACATCCACATAAGGAGTTTGATGCATGAATTTTCTGATCTTCTTTTCTCTTTAGTTTGTGTACAGTGCTGATAATCCCGGCCAAGCTGCTGCAGCTGCTGCACCAGTTGCAGTTTTCCTTGGCGTTACAGGAATCTCCTTTGCAGCATTCCCACACAGCAAGATTATTCCAATTGCACTGGTTCAAGCCTTAGCTTGTGGAAGCATTGGTGCATTTATTGTAAACAGAATCATACATAAACAACTTGGCCACCTCCTAAGCTCTGAAGCTGAGAAGCCAGTGCAGAAAGATAAACTTCATCTCGAAAACATCAGTTTCTTAGCAGACATTGCTGGCCCAAAAGGAGCTCAGTTGGAGATTGTCTATGGCGTTTTTGGCTACATGCAGGTCCTTTCTGCATGCTTCATGTCATTTGCGCATGGAGGCAATGATGTCTCGAATGCTATTGGCCCGCTCGCTGCTGCTCTATCTATTCTCCAAGGAGGAATGACAGGGACTGAGATAGTGATCCCCAAAGATGTCTTGGCCTGGGGTGGATTTGGAATAGTGGCAGGGCTCATGATGTGGGGACATAGAGTTATAGCCACCATAGGAAAGAAGATAACAGAGTTAACACCAACCAGAGGATTTGCAGCTGAGTTTGCTGCAGCATCAGTGGTGCTAGTGGCATCGAAGCTTGGCTTACCAATCTCAGCTACTCACACCCTTGTCGGCGCCGTCATGGGCGTCGGTTTTGCTCGTGGCCTGAATAGCGTGAGAGCGGAGACGGTTCGCGAGATTGTCACTAGCTGGGTGGTCACCATTCCTGTTGGGGCCTTTCTGTCTGTAATTTACACATTAATCCTCACCAAGCTCTTGCCAAACTTCATTTGACATGTGAGTTTAGCCAGTCATTAATTCCATTGTTTGTGAAGGAGAAACATCTCTCTTTTCCATGCGGATATTGTGCCTTCTTTCGAAGGAAGAGAGAAGATAACAGTTTGATAATACGCCATGATCGGAGAAATGTAAGCTGGAGGAAAAGAAACATTTGGAATCATGAGGAACAGGCGGTTCTGCTTGGTACTTTCTTAATCTCTGTGTTTATTTGAGTTTCCTTTATATCTGATTATACATGAGATAAGATTGGACTTGGAAGTGGGAATTCCATGTTATTTGAGAGCCCCGTGTACTGCACATTTTTCTGAAGATCATTTAATCTGAATTTTCTTTTTTTTTAATGGTTTGTTTACTATTTGAACAATATTGTCACGTTTCATTATGATTGATTACTGTTACGGATTCTCTAATAATTGGGATAAAACGAATGATGAATGATGATGTTGACCAAACCTACAAATTGTTTATTGTACTTAATGAAGGAATTGTACCTTCACGGTGAACTGTTCGCCTGCTCTTAGAAGCATTTACTGGAAACAAAGTTAAAGAAAAAAAAAAACTGGAAACAGTGAAAGAAAAAAAAAATTACTGGAAACAAAGTTACCGTTACTTTAACTAAGATAAATTATTTAAAATTGATGTTATGAGGAAATACAAACTACTGTGAGTCATCAGATTGAGTTAATATGTTAAAATGAGTTTTTTTTTTAATATTTATGGGTAAATAGTGGTGCTTAATATGTCCTTTTAAGTGTCCTGTAATGCAATAAATCTACTGTGGCAGAGTGATAGTGTATGTAGAATCTTGGAGTTCTTGAGCTTTTTGGAAGAGAGAGAGAGGCAGAGAAGAGAGAATTTTTCAAGGAAAATTAATAAAATTTTATTTAATTTTCTCTAAATTATACATCAACTATATATACCTGTGATGTCTTGCGAAGGAGTTAATCTAAAATTGAACCAATACCAATAATCTTCATATTGGTTTAGATTTTACAATGAAAAAAAAAATGAAGAGAAGTCTTGAATTTCTTATTGTTTTGCCAAGAAATAGCACCTTGCTCTCCAACCCATCGATCACCTCCTGACAGCTATACCACCTTGCGGTAGATCTTCATGCTTCCTTGCCTTGACAGAGAGCCATTTCTCCACCTGCCTCCATCAAAAAAAGTGTTCGTCGTCATATTTCATCTCCTCGTTTCTTTTCTTACGTGCCCAATCCAACGTGAAATGTGCGTTTAGCCAGTACGCGCGTCCCTCATTGGCCCACACCTCCTGCGGACGTGAATGAGACCATGCCTCCGCCTTGCTTGCGGCACTTGCATAAATTGTACGCTTGTGCCTCCATTATGGCTCTGCACTCAGTCCGCCTGGTCACGTAGCTTTTGCATTCTGAATCTTACACCGAGCACACACGACCTCCCTTCCATCTCTACATGCGAAAGAACCTGAACCTATCGGCTTCGAGCGTGGCTTGTCCCGGGCGACCAGGACAAGCGACCCGCCTCTTGTTTCGCTATAAGGGCAACCAAGCACCCTTGCACGGCATCTCCTTCTTCCTTTCGTGGACAAGAATCTTCCTCCTTATCGATCGCTTATACCAAGCTCTGATACTAATTGTAGAATCTTGGAGGAGTTCTTGAGCTTCTTGGAAGAGAGAGAGAGAGAAGAGAGAAATTTTTGAGGAAAACTAATCTAAAGCCTATTTAATTTTCTCTAAATTATACATCAACCTATAGCATGTATATATAGATATTTACATAAATGTGATATTTTGCAGAACATTTAATCTAAAATTGGACCAATCCTAACAGAGTATGAATGAAACAATCGAAAGCTTCTTTGTTGTGATTCTCTTCCCCTCTCAATCTTGTGTTTTCTTAGAGTCACTGGCGTCTTGAATCACCGTCATTCTTCGATCCTCTGAATTTGTTACATACAAATACAAAATTTAGAAACTTAACATGCCTCTACAAAGATCAAAAATAATTAACGTTGTGATTGTACACACGTGTAAAGAACTCAAATATGACAACAACACGATAATACGATATGATGAAAATGCAGCGGTTACAATGATCAAGAAGGAAATCTAGAAGGAACTCAATTTTTTGATGCCATTGCTCCGGAATTGCAATAGTTGAATTTTACTTCCGATTGAGGCTTAACAATTAGGGCTTCGGGTGAAGGCTAACTAGCAAAATATAAGGAAAAGTCATGGCGGCTCATGGAGATGGTCCCTAATGGGCCTCTTTACTTTATGACAAACATGTGGAAAAAGCTTGATAGCGATGTTCCAGCTAACTAGCCCATTGATTAATTATCATCCCACCAGCTTCCACTAGCTAGCCCAGCTCAAGGATGGCAAACATTGCTCTAATCATCACAAACTAACATATTCCATCACAAAACCAAAGAAGAATCTCTCTCTCTCTCTCTCTCTCTCTCTCTCTCTCTCTCTCTCTCTCTATCCTTTTCTTCTCTGTGGCTGTGAAACTATGGGAAAGATCTGCTGCGAGGAAACAGAAAATGGAGGGCCTGATTTCTCCAAACTCCTCATCGCCATCATCGTTGCTCTCCTTTTGATGATGGTCTGCTATAAACCACGGCGGAGGCACGTCGTCACTGTGCGCCATTGCTGATTGCTTTGCAACAAAAGAAAGGGAAAGTCTTTCGGTTGCTAGCTCTGAATTCTTTTCTTTCTATCATTCTCATAGTTTATTTTGCAAGTCCCCCAAATTATTGTCTTTACTGTTTTCTTGGATCTGTCAGCTGAAATGCTCTTGTTACTTATTTGAAGTCCTATGCAAGGATAAGAAATAACAGATCTTTGTTTTATGAACTAAACTTCTGTTGATGGAAGCAGTAGAAAGAAGTTGTTGAGCTTAATGAATTATCCACCTCTTTTGAAGAAAAGCAATGATACACAGTTGGTTTTTGACTTAGGCTTTGTTTGGTACAGCTTTCTTACTGCTTTATAAAATTATTTTTTAGTACAAAAATTTCTTAAAAACATGAAAAATACAGCGTTCTAAATTTATCCCAATCCCAAACGAAATCTCACTCTAACAATTCTGTGTTCTTTCATAACAAAAGGGAAGCTTTGAAGCTTCATTAGAGCCTATGCATATGATTTAATACATGATGATGTTTTTGAATTTATGGCTTTATGCATATTTTGAGTTCATGGTAACTAATTTTGAGCTATTTGCTAAAAGAAAATCCTCATCAGTTTTGTGTTGATTAATGCATCATTTGGAACTGTTTTTTAACCGCTTCTTAAAATAATTTTCTAGTCAAAAATTAAAATTTTGTATTAAAAAATTGTTTTAAGAAATAGTAAAAAACCGTATCAAACGAAGCCTAAAATTATTGCAGAAATCAAACTAAGTTTGAGAATTTTTCTGAACAAGTAATGTGATAATACATAATAGTCCAATTTATAAATATTATCCCACATCATTGGAGAACTTTTTAGTGGAGTATAGTGAGTGATTCCAGCATCAAGAATGAGATTATATTGCTTTAGGCTTGAAATAAGCCCACTTTTAAATAAAAACAATAACTTTGAAGCCCAATATGAGCCCACTATCATTTCCCCCTGGTGGATGGGCCTCTTATCTGAAACTCATTGGAACTTTTATTAGGTCCAGTGTAAGGACGTAGAGGAAGGTCCGGGAAGGTCCGGTCGGAGGTAAAATCCCGCGAAAAAACTTGGTATTTGCTCGGTATTGCTAGGTATTATTTGATAATGACGAGGAATACTGTTCTGTGAAGACCAATACCGAGTTATACCGAGCTATACCAAGCAATACTGAGAAGAAAAACTCGGTACAACTTTTGTATAACTCCGTATTGCTCGGTATAGCTCGGTATAACTCGGTATTGAGTCTTCACGTGATGGTATTCCTCGTTATTGTTTGGTATTGCTCGGTATTTCTCGTTTTTTTGTGCGATTTGGCCTCCGACCGGACGCTACTCTAGGTCCGATCGGAGGACGTAATAATTGTTCAACTCATTGTGGGTGCCCCTCACCCTTTCTTTGATTTATCCTATTTGAGTAAGCAAATTGTCTGGAGATAAGAAATATATATTTTTTATGTATGTGTATATAATTAAAGAAAATTTTGGATTGAAAAATTACTTTATAAAGCAATTAGAAAGTAGTTAGAAAGCTGCCCCAAATGAAGCCAAAGAAAGTATACCCGAGATTTTCTTTGAATGTTAGAAAGATGAAAAAATAATTTGGGGATAAATATTTAAGAAAACCCGTCGATATAAGAAAGAGAGAATTTTTAATAATTTTATATTTAAATTTGAATTTTATTAAATTTTATGTCCATCTTATATTAATACATTTTAAATCAGTTAGCTTATTAGCTAACTAGTTGAGTCTAATTTGGCTCAAATTTGACTTGCCAACTCATCGAGTTCAGCTCATACGCCTTTTATCCTACTAAGTTGAAGACCGCTAATGAGTCAAATTTTTACTTAATTATTTGATAAAAAACAACATTAATTTTTTTTTTTCACTTACTATTTACCGTATTTGTTCGCACTAGATATTTGCAAGAGGATGTATTTTAGTGTATACTTTTTGCTGATGATATTATTGTTGTTGATAAGATTAGAGAGAGAGAGAGTTAAAGGTAAACTTGAATTATGAAGGTCAACCTTAGAGTCTAATGGTTTCGCTTAGTAGAACTAAAACTGAATATATGTAGTATAATTTTAGTAGCATTAGACCTAGTGAGAGGATTGTGACTTTGGGCGATCAAGTTATTAATAAGAGTAAATGTTTTAGATATCTTGGATCTATCGTTAAGATTGATGATGAAATATATAGGAATATTATCAGTAGAATTCAAGTTGGAAGGTTGAAGTGAAGGAATAAATTTGGCTTGTTGTGTGATAGAAAAGTCCCCCTCAAACTTAAGGGAAAATTCTATAAGATGGTGGTGAGACCTGCAATGCTTTATGGTACCGAATGTTGGCCATTAAAAGAGAAGCATAATACTAAGTTAAGTGTTACAGAGATGAGGATGCACAGGTGGATAAGTGGCTTTACCCTTAAAGATAGGATACGAAATGAGCATATACATGAAATGGTTGGAGTAGTGCCAGTGGAAGATAAGATCAGAGAGAGTAGCCTTAGATGATTTGGTCACATAAACCGGCGGCCTTCCGATGACCCGGTTATGAAAGTAGAGGTATTAGATTTGACTTATGTTAAGAAAGATAGAGGTAGACTTAAAAATACGTGGTTAGAAAATATTAGAAATTATCTTTCTTTTTTAGATTTAAATGAGAATTTGACTTTTAAGTTGACACTTTACATAATAGA